GGCAAGGGGGAAATTGTGTCAGTTTCTCTCAAACTATTGCTTGAAATAAACCAAAATTGTTTGTTTGTTTGCCGTTGCGTGCTGCTGTGAGTGGGTGCTGCCAGGCTCATTAAAGCAGATCTAATCAGAGTGGGCTAATCACTGCAAAACCAGGTGTCTCTGCACACACGTGTCCAGCTGATACCCAGCAGCCCAGTAAAGGCCTGCTCTGTCAGATCCTTACACTCCTCCTTTATTCTCTTTCTCCTTTTATTATTTATAACATAGAACAAAATTATTTCTAACATATAACAAAATATTATTATATAGCCCTGTGTAGAAATCAGAAACTGACCTTCATTAGCTTAATTTCCAGTCAAGACAGCCATTAAATACAGGTCATGAATTTTCAGTGTAGGAAAAACAAAGCAGAAACCATATATTTAACAGAAAATTACACTCAATAACTAAATATAATATCAGTTCTTTCAGTATTAGTGAGTCCATACTTTGCATTAATCACAGCTTTCATTCTTTTCGGGAGACTTGCTTTCAGTTTTTCATAGAAATCTGCAGGGATATTTTTCCACAGCACCAAAGTTCAGTCTTAGAAGTCGGTTGCATTTTCTCCTTCTCACAATCCAAGTACTCCAAAACACATTCAGAGATGTTGCGGTCTGGACTCTGGGGTGGCCAGTCCATTGTTCTGAGAACACCAGCAGCGTCTTTGTTTGTTTCGCAAATTTTCTTCTTTTTCATTCTTAGTAAAGGCATTTTGACAGCTATTCATCCTTTCAGACTCCTAGTGTTGAGTTGTCTTCTCACAGTGAAAGGATGGACAGAAACACCTCTGGATTTTTTCAGATCTGAAGCAAGAGAGGAGCTTGATTTCCTCTTCTCTCTCAAAAATGAAAGCATTAAGTGTATCTTCTGATATATTTTTGTAAACTTGACTTTCCTCATCTTTATGCAAGTTGATTATCTTATTATATCTAATCTCCTTAATTAATATTGCTGTTTTTGTTCTGTTCCCTATTCTCCCCTCTTCCTTCTTCTAATCTGAGCAGTGTTATGTGACCATTACAGCATGAATAATTCTCTAAATGGGGCAGCAGTAAGGCCCCAGCTGGACAAGCACAGTCCATCAAACAAATCAACAAACAAACAAGTAAATAAAACTGAGCCTGAGCCGTGAGTTATTTGCAACACCACCATATTCATTCACTCCATCCAGAAACATAATAACAAAAGCATATCTTTCATAAATGAAGCCATAAAAAGATAACACTAAGGTGTTAGTAACAGAGACGATATAAACAGGGAAATTTGTCATTCTGTCTTTGTACATGTATGATAACTTGGGGATTGATGTCTCCCAGTGTTGGATGCCTCCCTTCTTATTTTCTTTCATGATTAAATTAAGGAGCCATATCTGATCTCAGTTCGTTTGCTATGGTCTTAACTAATTCTGAAACTTGATCTGGATCACTGCATTCCTGAGACCTATTCCCCAAAAAAACTGGTTGGGGTCAGTTGATAAATTATTTTGTCAGAATGAATTGGTTTTGGAAAAAAAAAGTTTTTGTCTGAAGTGTAGAGTAAGACCTCTGGGGCAAGACGTCCCACAAGACATAAGGCAAAAGGCCCCCTTTAGCATATTACCCCAAAAATATTGTTTAAAAGCAGAGCTAGCTAGCATTAGTATTATGTGCTAGATAAATCAATTGTTAGTGAGAATTAGGTGGCATGACTTTGTGTGTGTGTTTTGCAGCTTAGCAGAGTTCCAGTGACACCTGGTCTGTTCTATCATGTCTAATAATCATTTGTACTTGCTAATTAAATGTTGAATGGTATTGCTTTGTTTAAATTGTTCTTTTTATTATTGCTGTGGCAATATTAGTAATATTGGTAATATTAGATGATCATTAAGTGGATGTACCTTACATTGTGTAATTAAATAATCACATTTATATTAACAGTATTTTGTCAATAAGAGCTCACTAAACTGTAAAAGTTACTTAACAGAACATTAATTTCAAAAAGTCGTTAGTGTTGTACCTATAACATTTTTTTTAAAATGCAAATGCTAAAAATTTTTTGACATACAAATTACACATTTTGTAAATCTTAGATGGCAGATTCACCAGGATGGCCATCTTACTCCAGGAAGGGGGGGCTATTTTGTCCATATAGTGGGGCAAGACTTTCATTTTTGAACAGCAAGAACAAAAATGTCTGCTGTTCAAGTTATTTGAACAGCTATCACAGTTATTTCCTCTAACTGTGTAGTTTATGCATCATTGTCATCATCATCATCATCCTGTGCATGCTAAACTCCCTCACAGATATGGTTTAGCTTTGCAGTAAATGGACTTTGCTCTTAATGGGGACATTTCTCCTACTTATGTGCTCTTTCTAGCCTTTTCTCAGTATCTGGTTCCAGTATCTGCAGCATTTGAATCTTATCTCTTACACAGAAAATGCTTATTACTAGGTTATTTTCAGATTTGTCCAAAATGAGTTTGTCAGGTTCTGTTTTTGCTGTCAAATAATCAGAACTGATTCATTAAGAAGGTTAATTGTAATTGATGTATCTGAGTAATAGAGATTAATTGAGGAACTGTGACAGCCCTAGTTTTAAACGTTACTATCTTACTGTGACACTTTCAGATGGTTCACGTAAACATTTAGCTTGGATTCTCTTAGCAAATTAAGCATCACAGAGGTGAGAACGTACAGCGTAACAGAATGTCACTGATGAGTTTGGCCGAATGATCTGAACATATTAAGTGTAAAAGCAGCTGAGACAGAATCCAACAGTAGCCTTAAGTAAGGAGATTAGTTTGTACACTGCTGTGTTCTGTCCACTGCTGTGTCCTCCAGCAGTCCACTGGCATATATTCTGGCTGTCACTCAGATTTCTCAGCCAATAAGAGCTGCTAATGGGATATGTGTCGCAGGTGTCAGTGGGCATTTGTTTAAGAGAGTGTTTAAAGCAGCACACATTACAGAGTGTGTATTGCCTGCAGTCAGGATGAGTGTGTTTTAATGCTGTTTCTGTGTAGTGAACTGTTTGTCTAAGAGCTAAAAACACCATCACTGTTGTATTTACACCATCAGTGCTAACATGATGTTAGAACACACAGCGGGAACCTCTCGCACTGCAGCTGGCGTCAAAAAGTGGTTGACGGTTGTACAATAATTTATGTCTCGAAAGATTTAGTTGTTACATTTACAGTATTTTATTTTATTTTCTCTGGGTAAGAACAAACAGCCGTGAAGCAAATGTATAAAAATGCTGATTCATTAAAGAGGAAGATCTGTGAAAGTGCTGTCAGATACAAAAACTTTGGTATTCCTGGTTAAATTACATGTTTTCTAAATGAAAATAAGTTAACACACCCTCTACAGAGAACACACTTCTGCACATTTTAATCCAGTTACTGTTCAATTACTGAATTTAACATGTTGGAAGAAAATAAAACATAAAATATGCTCTGTGAAAATGTTTTTATTTTAATCTTGTCTAATGTGTTGAATTCAGCAAATAAATTGAAATTGTGCACTACAATTTACAGAAAATGGCCATTTGTAAGCGTGTTCCTTGTAGAGGATGTGTTTTCACTTAGAAAATTAACTAAATATGTAATTTGACCAGAGGTGTGTAGACTGTGTCTGCTGCTGGAATTTTCCCATTCATTCACAACCAGTATCAACTTAAAGTTACTAAAAGTCCAACATATTTTCTCAGAGAAAATCCTGTTTACCCATTTTTTTAAAATATAATTCTAAATGGTTGTTGGTTTCAACATGCAGTTCTGTGGTTGTAGAAAACAGACACAGAACCTGTATATTATGTTGAGGTTCTCTAACCTTTAAAAAGGTCCTTCACATGTTACTTACAAAGAGGTTTGAAAGGTTCTTTAGGGAACCACAAGTAGTTCTTCTATCGCATCACTGCAAAGAACCTTTTTGGCCGTTTTAAGAGGAATTCATTTTTGACCAAAACCTTCTCAAAACAATCATTAACCATGTCTCAGACGTTCAGGGAATGTATTTGTCACCATGTCATGTAATAGTTTTCTGTGAGGCAGCTTTTATTATAAAACTCTTCAGACTTCTGGTTCCCATCACCACTATTGTGAACAATTCTGACTCTCTTACTCTAGAATGGTGCATCTACACCAACCACTCTGAATGACTTCTGCCACTTTAAATATGGAGAAATTGTGAAAAATAGGTTGTATTCCCCTTTCAGGAGAATTTTTTCTTTAACTTCACCATCTAGAGCTGAAGTGCCAACAGCCGTCGCCAAAACGTCTCTCCACTGCCCCCTACTGGTCCTCTCATAGCAAGAACTACCAGACTCAAGATGAGGGAGAAAAGTGGAATTTAGGGAGACTGTGGACAATATGACACCCAATCAATCTGTGTACTTTTATTCATTCATCAGTGTATAATAAAACATCCTGCAACTATTATTAAAAACACACACAAAAAAAAAACCCCACAACAAAAAGAGTGAAAAATTACCCAAATGTTGAAATACTCACAAATATAATATTGTAAGTCAAATTAAAGTATTAAATAAATGCTCACTTGACAAAAATTCATTTCAAAAGGTATTTTAAAAGTGCTACAAATGGAAACAAAGGCACAGTGACAAACATAGAGGGACTGTAGCCTGGCGCAACAGCTTCTATTAGCTACTCCCTGCTATTCTTATACAGTGGTGTTATACCTTCGACATTTGTCATTGTGTTTACTGTACAGTTGTAGTGTTCACAGGATAGTGCCGATTGACTTTTTTTCAGATAATTACATTTTCACAAACTTGCACACACTATCAACTGATACATTGAGAGAAAAATACTGCATCTGCAAAAGAACCAAAAATACAAGCAATTAAACTCTTTATATTGTATATTCATGCAGTTTTCTCCAAAACGCAAAGGATTTTTATAACAAAATACCTTTAAATATTAAAAAAGAACTTGCTTTCCAAAAAAAAAATAAAAAAAGAAAATACATGGTCAGTTTATTTTTTAACATTAATTCATTTCATTTAGTATAACATCAATGTAATGTTCTTCCAGACATGGTTTTAATATAAAGTAACAAAAACTATTTTAATGCCCCTGTTAAAAGTATTTATTAAGAAGTTAAAACACACTATTTGGAGACAATAATCATAATTTGAATTCTGTACTCTCTCACATTTTGTTTCTGTTCTTCTTTCCATAATACAGATAATACAGGCCAAAATATAGACACAAATTACACACATTTCCACACATCCATTTCTTCAAAAGTACATACTAACAGCATCTTCCTACTATAAATATCCACCGTTATCATAAAGGGGGGGCTGATCCATGCTGGAAAATAGTCATCATTATTTTATTCATTTCTGAGTCAGTCATTGGTGCGGTGTAGCTGAGGTACTACAAATGACCATTGCAACATGTCAGTCCCAACAATTTCAGCATGTCTCCCCCTTTAAGTTTCCTACCAACAGCAATGAGATTTATAATATGTAAACCAACTTTGGGAAGATAATAGAGAGAACCTGAAATAAGGTCACATTCAATTGCTCACAAACTGATAGCTATCATAGTGTTCACATTTATTGACACTACTGAACTAATTTAATCCCAAAAAGCCTCTATAAAGTCTGCTTAGTACAGTGTTTTGGAGCTGTTTATTACTATTTTCATTTAGTGTTATGACCTTTTACTATGTCCATATGCTACATTATATATTCATAGATTATAATATACTGTGAGCATCAACATTTTTAAATCATTTGAATTCTTCCAGAAAATGGGTTTTGTTTCCTGACATAAATTTACATATTGTCGAGTGTACCACATCAAAGAAGCAACAAGCTGATAAATATAACAGCTAAACTGACTCTGCTTCAAAAACTATTGTCCTGAATGTTTTAGGCCAAAGATTTCCAAAAGGATTTTTCTTGTTTTTCTTCCATCTCCAGGCCCTTGTTCTTTTACATAATGTTACTCTTTCACTCACTTTCATACGGGGTAATGGTGCCACGGCTGCTTAGTATTATCTTTTGATAGCCTTGGCGTTGTGTGTTGCTTCCAGTTTTAATGTAGGTACACTGTTCAAAAGTTTGGAATCACTTTGGAAACACATTTGTTACTGGAATTGGGTAAAAAAAGGAAGTTATTTAAAACGATAAATAGTATACTGTAATGATCTATTCACACTTCTTTGTCAACTTCTCTTCCTTGAGATTGGATCTCCACTTTTAAAATATGATTAATTCTGGATTCTTTTTTTAACCCAATTTAGTTGTAGCCAATTCCCCCCGCTAGCTAGGTCTCCCACCCTTCACACAATGCTAGCACCCTGTGTGGGTGAAGGCTAGCACATGCTTCCTCTGAGACAAAAGAAGTGCCACCAAACATTTTCAGTCTCCCATTACCATATTGGTCACTGGACAGCTTGACTCGCTTAGAGGAGAATGCTTTCTACCAGTTCTGATGCATCAGTTAAAAGATGCCCACACTGGCTAGCTGAGTGACGGGGAAAGAGGGAGGGCCATGCCTGCTCACCTAGAGCAAGCAAGAATAATTAAGATGTTTGGACTCCAAGGATGAGGAATCACCAGGGATTGAACTTGCGAACTCCTGAAGATAGGGACCTAGGCTTAGAGAGCTGCTCTGGATATTCATTTTATTATAACTTTATTCTCAGTGTTGTAAAGCTTCCTCAGTCATTCAGAAACTTCGACAGCTCCGTTCATCATTTTGGACAAATCAAACATTTCTTCATTCCTATTCACAGCTTTTAAACACTTTTATGTGCTACCGCAACCAAATTGGTTTTATATTGGAGACTTGATTCCAAACTGCTGAACAGTGTATGCAGACCCTGTTCTCCAGTGTAGTACCAAATGTTGATACAGTAAGCAATAAATTAAATAAGTTATATTTTCACAAACTAGCTTGTTTATTGGTAATATGTCCAAATAATGCATCGGAACAGAATGTAAACTGCCCCGACTGTAACAAAGTGATTGCTATGACCTTTCAGTTGACTTCAACATGAAACGTCCCAAGAACAGATATTCGTCTTAACCCCAGACATTTGTGCCTTTATGTAAGGTGTGTGTTCAGTCCTTAGCAGCGGCGAGGGGAGTTGGGGTACTTGGTCTTCAGACCCTCCTTGAAGCTGCGGAAGAGCAGCCGGTTCCTGCGGTTCTCCTCGTCTTTGCGGCTGTGGAACTCTCCCTGGACCTTAAAGCCTCTGTGCACCACAAAGGCGTTACTTACGACAGAGAACCTGAATCCAGCAATGTGAAGCTCACAGGCCTGTGGGGCAAAGAGGATAGAAAACAGACTGTGAGTGGACCACAGTGCACAATTCACATCCACAATGTAGTTTTGAAGCCATAATAACAACACCACTGTTCAAAAGCTTGGATCTCCACTCGAAGGTGTTATTGTTTTCAATAATTCTGCAGATACAGTTACCCACAAATGCATACAGTTATATAATATGATACTAATTAGCTTGAAGCTGTAAAAATGAGAACAAAATATTAGTTGTGTTCAGAATGATAAACAAAACTGTAGATCAGGGGTGCTCAGTCCTGGTCCTGGAGATCTACCACCCTGTAGAGTTTGGCTCTGACCCTAATATAATGCACCTGATCCAAGTCATGAAGGCTTTCAGGAGCATCTGACAATTAGAGCCAGGTATGCTGGATCTGAACTCTCCAGGGTGGTAGATCTCCAGGACCAGGATTGATCACCCCTGCGGTAGATGATTCCATAATAACCAAGAAAGCTGTTTAATATTGAGAATGAATTTATAATAAAAGTAATGTTTAGAATGTCTTGCACTTGAAAAGTGTCAGTCAAATCCTGAGTATGGTAACTTGACAAAAGTTTACAAAAAATGAATACAGTACATTATTTAGCATTTAATCATTTCTTGATGTTCCCAAAATACTTGATATATTTAACAAAACACCAAAAAAACATAAAGCAAACAGTTTATGACTCTTTTGATGGAGAAAATTTGGCACAGAAAACTGCCTTTTGCAACGGTCGAGACTTTTATAATGCATCCGAAGGGAACAACAATAAGATACAGTTTCAGCAGATGTTAACGTACATTCACAAGTATCTGCCCGTGTCTCTCCAGCTGCTGTGGGGACTAACCTGGCTGATGCGGTTGAAGCCGTACTGCTTGAAGTTCTCATCGTACAGGGGCACTGTTTTGGCCCCAATGTAGAAAGGCTCCCACGGGTCGACCCAATTCAGGGTGTATGCTACCTCCAAAGGCCCAGAGCTCTTGGCGGCTAGATTAATCCATCGAGAGTAGTTAGTGGGGGCCTGGCATCGTGAGCACAGTTCCTCGTAGAAGGGCCTCACCTCGCCGACTTGATACAGCTGCACTAGTTCTGCCTTGGAAGCTGGCATTTTGCGTGTGTGTCTGATTTCGAAGGCAGGCAGAACCAGGACCTCATCCTGGGGCGGCTCACGTCTCATCAGCATAGTCACAAACTGATGGTGTAAGTCCGCACTGGGCACCATGTCGATGTCAATGACCAGGACATAGGCAGCATCGGTGCCAGTGCGAGCCACGTTTCGGAGGAGGTTGTTGGGGTAGGAGACGTTGCTCCCAATGGCATAGTTTTTGTACTTGTCCCTGTGGGACTCGAGCTTCGCAAACACACCGGGGCACCCCTGCTCCTCAAGGCCAGCAAAGTGCTCTCTGTCTTGCTCTGGAAAGCTGGCTGTCTCCTCAGAGTGGCAGACCAGGTGGAAGTCCACCAGTTCTTGGACTTGTGGGCAGAAGAGGCTGAGGGCATACACAAGGGCTGTGGCAAACCGGACATCCTGGCCGTGAGCAAATATGGCAATGGAAAGGGGGTTGCGCCAGCGTTCAAGCAGAGAGTCCAGGTGATGGAGGTTGTTGATGGTGGTGTGGGTGGCCAAGGACAGGTGGTGAGACCTCGGGTCAGCTCCTGGCTTCTGACTGGTCGAGAAATCGCTTTTGATTAGGTTTTTATAAATGCGATACTGACCACTGTTGTCGAAGATCCCCCCGCTGGACAAAGAATACCTCAGTCGCTCTTTCTTGGTGTTCTTTTCTCCCAGGTGAGGGTTCTTTTTGGACCCAAACAGTTCTGAATACCTGTAGCGCTGCTCCTTGCCGTGAAGCTTCGAGAGGAACGACAGATAGATGAGCTGCAGCAGCGCTACTATCAGCAGGGCACTGAGCACCACTTTAAACACGGAGCATTTTTTGGAGAAAGGCATTCCAGAAACGTGGTCCTGTTTAAAGAATATGCCCGAAGAAAACTCTCATCTGTAATAACGTTAGCTTGGCTGCTTCATCTCCTCGGCGCTGCTCCGTTAGCTGGCAGCACCGTTGCCGTTAGCAACCTACCGACTTGATACGAGAGAACCCGCCGTGTAAATACAGCTGCCGGTTATGTGCGCTACACCGGTGGGTCTCGAATTAACGTCCATTGCGGTCCAATTTGAGTATTTAGATCCATAAAACAGCTTGAATCACACAGCGAAAATCACGGGCAGTACATGGACTGCGCTTGCGCTCCCGGCGCATGTTTATGCGCTGGTTAGCTTGCAAGCTAGCTTGTTACCGTAAATACTGGAACAGACTAGCAGGTAATATACCACATAACTACAGTGACACGGTGAGATTATTGTTATCCTCCGTGTGTAAGTTAAGTCATTCATATGAGTAACAATATTTCACAACAGTGATATAAGAAGAAAGAAAACTAATAAGCATGCGTTTAGACGCGCATAGTATTGAGAGTATAGTATTTGACAACATTATATCCGGCGGTAACGTGTATGAGAGACGAGGTGGCCGAGTGGTTAAGGCGATGGACTGCTAATCCATTGTGCTCTGCACGCGTGGGTTCGAATCCCATCCTCGTCGACAGCGTTTTGTATCAGTGACAAAACAAAGACCCTTTGTCTTCCCTGGTGAGTTTCTTCCAGTCCTTGAATGCAGCTGTCTTTAGCAAGTCTTTGTTCTTGACGCGTTTTACCTTCAGATTTGCCTTTAGTCAGTGAACTGCATGTTCAGTTGGACTGAGGTCAGGTGTCTCACCTGGCCGTTGAAGATCTTCTTTAACGAAGATCTACACCTACTGCAGTGTATATACTTGTATTTATTTTCTGTATTTATTGTTCTATGTCCCTGCACTATGTCCTGTCTTGCACTATGTCCTGTCTTGCACTATGTTGTCTGTAATTGCACTGGAGATCTAGCCTAAAAGTGTTTCGTTGTACTGTACAACCCTGTTTCAGTAAAATGACAATAAAGTTGAATTGAATTGAATTGAATTGAATTCTTTGCCTGAATGGGGAATTCCACCGAGTGGAATTCAGAGTGGTTTGGTGTGAAGTGGTTCATTGTAGAGAAACCTACTGACTGTGATTTTTTTACAAAGATGGTGATAGGAAGCAGGGGTCACACTGTCTACAACACAATTATAGCCATTTTTACTATACAAAACCTACATGTATCTTCTGAGTTTATTTGTAATGGTGATGAGGGTCAAATAGTGGTAAATCTGAGAAATAAGCTTTCTGTGGAGAATAAGCTTTTTGTGTTGCCTCACAACACCCTGCATGTACCCCTCTGCCATGAATGGATTAACATAAATAAAATAACTATCATAAAAGTATTGCAAAAAAGTATTACTATCACCACCACTGTGGACAATTCTGACTCAGGAAGTTATTCTAGAACTGAGTATTTCACACAAAACCATACTGAATGACTTTGTTGACATGTTAATTATAAAATTTTTCAAATATTGGTGGGATTTTTCTATAAAAGCATCTTGGGTTACTTTTACATTATTTTTTGGGCCATTGTCCAATTGTATTGTGCCGTCCAATGAGTTTTGAAGCATTTGGCAGAATCTGATCAGATAACACCTCGCCACAACACCAATACCCAGCTTGACACATGACATAGTATACTTTTGATTACAGGCAGTTCCTTCACTGTTAAAATGTCATTTGCACACCCAGAATGTAGTAACTGATTGACCAAAACCTTTTTTAGATATTATATTAAGACATGTATTAGCCTCTTAAAACCCCAGGCTTATTACATACTAAGGCTTATTAGGAGCTATAGGAGCTATTCTTAGGTCATAGAAGTGTGTTTTAAAACTTTGGGCCCGCTGGTGGGACCTGGTCATTCAAGGGGTTAAACCCAAACTTATACAAAAATGGCTGTGATAAAAAAAAAAAAAGTTCTAAAGAGGTGATGTGAAATCACAGGCATAATTTTTATTTCTGTCAAAGAAGTCAATATCACACTGACCAGAGGCATACAGAGTCAGAATTAATGACTAATTTGCATGCATGTGTCATATATGTTTAATATCTTCCTGTGTTAGTGGGGACCATATGTGGGAACCATGTTGTTGTTGTTACAGTAACACTACTGTGCTGTTCACCTGTCCTCTGGGCCCTGATGATGGCCACACCATCCACCACTCCCTTGCGCTTCTCCGTCTCTCGCGGGGTTTCATCCTCCCTTGGGGTTCGAACCCCACCTTCCTGCCAGTGCATCTACTTATTTGTTGAATTAATTAAAATATGAGGCTGATCACAATTTTAAGAAGACATGTTACATCAAACAGAACATTTAATATCAAACAAAGTCTTGGAAATAGAAGTGGTCGGGACCCACACAGCCCTGCCTCTGCAAGAGAATACAATTCCAGACTCTTGATCTAGAATACATGTCCATGTCCCCCATCCCAGCACCCTGTCCAGCCCCAGCCACTGTTGCAGGGCCCTGTTGGGCTAGTGGTGTGCTATGTTGGGATTCAGCCCTGCCTCTGCAAGAGAATACAATTCCAGACTCTTGATCTAGAATACATGTCCATGTCCCCCATCCCAGCACCCTGTCCAGCCCCAGCCACTGTTGCAGGGCCCTGTTGGGCTAGTGGTGTGCTATGTTGGGAAATGCTGTGCTATGCAATGCTAGACTAACACGGCTAACAAACACTGGACTTGGACTGTGACCGTCTCTGTAAATGCATGCGAAAATTTATTTGCCCCAGAAATCTATCGAAAAACTATGAAAAGTTAAAAAAAAGATCATTAGTAAAATGGCTAAAATAGACCTTATTTAAATAAAAAAAAATAAGCGTGACTTTTAGCAATGAACCACAAACTAGCAAGATTTTGTAAAAGTATCATGCTCTGAGTATTCTGTGATCATTTTTCAGCTGATGATTACAAGGAGGGTTGCAAGCGGAATATTCTAAAATGTGTAGCTGTTCCAAGTAAATATGTACAGATGAGAAGTGAATGTAAGGTAAGCTTTGTTTACTTTGTATCTATCTTTAATGTTTATTTTGTGCTCACTTAGCTACTGTCAAGCCATTTGCATCAAACATGCTTAATAAATGTTGCTTTACGCAATTTGACTGTAGAAATTAATACGCATCTTTTTTACTGTCTTTATTGCCAATTTGTTCAAGCACTGGCATCAATAGCATCAACTCCTTACAGCAGACACTCCACCTTGGCTGGAACTTTCCACAAGTGAACACAATTTCTGTTGTAGAAGCAGACACAGAAATGTCTGACAAATCACTAGTGGTTCCAGCTGACGCATTGCTTTATTTTCAAACATATACATCTGTTTTGGACACCATTTTGATTTTGCAAGTACACTATTTTCTTTGCCAAATTACTGTAATCTAGCTTTTTGGGGAGACTTTGACTAACTTACAACTTTTCTCTATTTTAATATTTTTTATTAATGGTAAAACCTTATTCTCTGTTCATATTACTCTCCAGTGTTGATCAGTGGAGGATGGCTTCCCCCTTTGAGTCTTGGTTCTTCTAATCACTATGAGCTTCAACAATGTGAATTTGTCTAGATAGCAGCATATATTGCTCCAAAACCTGTATAAATTGTTTAGCATTAAGGCACCTTCACAGATGTGCAAGTCACTCATGCCATGTGCACTAATGCACCCCTATACTGTCATGGATGCTGGCTTTTGATCTGTACACAGATAACAAAATCGATGGTCCTTCTCCTCTTTAGCCCAGAGGATGTAGCGTTGATGATTTCCAAAAAGAAGAGGCTCAGAGAATGTGCCAGCGTTTATGGATCCTGTTTATATATGGTTTCTTCTTTACATGGTAGAGTTTTAACATGCATTTGTGGATGCAGCAACGAACAGTGTTTTCCAGAAGTGCTTCTGAGCCCATGCTGTGATTTCCGCTACAGAATCATGTCTGTTTTTAATGCAGTGCCACCTGGGGGCCCAAAGATCATGGCCAGGTAATATTATTTTTCGGCCTTCTCTTACATACAGAGATTTATCTGGTTTCTCTGAATCGTTTAATGATATTATGTACTGTGAGTGATGAAATCCCCAAGTTCTTTACTATTTTATGTAGAGAAACGTTATTCTTGAACTGTTGCACAATATGCCCACGCAGTTGTTCAGAGAGTGGTGAGCCCCTCCCCATCTTTACTTCTGAAAGTCTCAGCCTCTCTGCAGTGCCATTTTTATGCTCAGTCATGTTACTGCCCTGTTGCCAATTAACCGAATCAGTCTCAACTTTTTTTGAAACACGTCACTGGCACCAAATTCAAACTGGGCATATATTTTTCAAAGAACAACTACATTTCTCAGTGTCAACATTTGATATGTTGTCTTTGTACTATTTTGAATTAAATATTGGGTTTAAAAGATTTGCACATCATTGCATTTGCACTGCTTTTATTTACATTTTACATAGCTTTCCAACTTTTTTGGGAAAAATAGCTACATAATAACAAAGTATTTAAAAATTAGCTGAAAATATGTTTTGTTAATATTTAAAAAAAAATGTATTATGTAATATAATTAAAGAACAGAAGAATTCAAGTAATTACATTCTGTGATGTTGCTTTTAAACGCTTTAAACACTTTAGATGCCTGGTTCCTATCACCACCATTGTGAGTGGTTCTGAGTCAGTAAGTTTCTTTAGAGCATTTCACCAAACCACTCTGAGTGACTTTGTTTACATCATAATGAAGAAATTCCCCATTTGGCGACTCTTCCAATTTCTTATCTGAGAAAAACTTAAGTCAGACAGTAAAGAGTATATGCTGACCTTTAATCCTGGTCCTAAATTCACAGTAACAGTATTCACAGTATATGTAACAGTATGAATGACTGATCAAGCATTTGCTATCTGAAATTGTTTGTAAATATCATTACATATTGTACAATATCATTACATATTGTGCAAAATTCTGAGTTCTCGGATTGTACATTCAAAATGCAAGGGTCCAGAAAAAATATACAAATAGAGTAATAAAATGTATTCATTGTAAAAAATACTGTTATTTTATAATATAGTATGTGTGCTGTAAATGCATATTATGACTAACTATTCACATCCTCCCACAATGCATCAGAAAATATTAAATCTGTTTTGTTGTAGTGTTCCTATTCTAGTTACTGCTGAAAGTTTATTAAATCTTTGATACGGGTGAGATGATCAGTGGAGCTGAGTTTTTACCTCCATCATTATTACAGGGACTGAAGAATGGATAGAGTTTCTCACTGAATGACTGACCAGTAAAAGAGTAGATATGAGATCTGGACTCCACGTCATAAAAGGAGACCAGACCCTCCTCATAATCCACAAACACTCCCACCTTCTGGGATTTCTTTCTCAAGGAGAGGGGAACTAAAGGACCAGCACAAGCAAAATACTCATTCTCATTCCTCAGAATCACAGTCCAGAATCCTTTCAGTGGGGTCAGTGTAATCGTTTTACCCTTTCTGATAATGGACTCTCTGACAACTCCTAAATCCCAGTCAGTCTTCCCCCTGACCTGGACTTCATAGTAAAATCTCCCTGAGGAGAATCCCTCCTTTCCCAGAGCATATGAACATCTATCAAATCTCTTTGGATTGTCAGGAAGATTCTGTTTTGTGTCTCCATGTGTCACTTGTTTTCCATCATCAGATAGGATGAGTTTAGGATGAGCTGTATCAGCATCCAGAGTCACATCCACTGAGAGAAACACACAGTGTGTGATATGAATATACAGACAATAAATGAATTCATCATCCAGTGAATCACACAGAGTAAACTTTGAAAACAGTTTGTGGAACAATAAAATAAATTGTACAGTGAAATATGAGTAATAGAACCTTATACGGTTTTGGAAAAAGTGGTGTGATGTTGGCTTTAAAATAATAAAATATAAAAGCATTTAAAATAATGAAGAGAAGAAAAATCCAGAAGCTGCACTGTACCTGCATACCGCTGAATCATCTTCAGTTCTGTTGAGATTATTTACAAGAAAAGAAACAATTACTCATTTTTAAAAAGTTAATTCAAATCTAAACTTGGACTAAATTACAATTGATACTTTTCTTTTCATGTAACATCTGACAAATAATTCCTTTTGCTACATGTAAATTATCAACATTTCTCACCTGATTCTATGATCTTCTCATTCAGACTCTTCTGAAGTTGAGATAGAACGTTCCTCACAATGTCTACACTCAGATCAATAATAGGGTCAATACTGATGCCAGTCCAGTTGTTGGTGTGTGGAGGTCTGCACAGTGATGGGTAAATCTACAGTCCAGCAGGAGAGAGGAGAAATCCCTCAGCATGGGCAGTGTTGCTGTGTGATGTGCTGCATTGTCATTGTGCAGATAGAGGGACACTGACCTGTAGGAGGTGGAGGTGGTCCTCAGTGTGAGAGAGCTGCTCCAGCTCAGTGTCTCTCCTCTTTAGCTCAGTGATTTCCTGCTCCAGCTCTTCAATGAGGTCTTCAGCCTGCCTCTCTGCTGCTTTCTGCTTCTCCTTCATCATCTCAAGCAGCTCAGCCTGGCTTCTCTCAATGGAGCGGATCAGAGCAGTGAAGACTATAACGATGTCTGCTTCCTCTTTCTCTGTGTTCCTCTAATGAAAGAAGAATGAAACAAACAACAGTGAATTCCCACTATCACAGCAACAACAATAAGCCCTGTTTAATCTCTCTTAAAACAGCAGCATGAATATAAAAGAAGCTGTAGCTTGGTTGAGAACTGGAGTAACTGTTAGTTAGCACACACAGCTTATATAGTCTCCATAGAAAAGCACCGACAATAGAACAGATCACTATGTCCAATGCCAAGTGTAGGCTAGAGGTGTATGATGCCCCCAGCATTGGGCTGTGGAGAGTGATGGAGCACCAACCAATACCTTTGAGATAAGCTGGAGTGGCATTTGTGATCCAGAACTGATCATCCAACATCAGTACCTGATCCCACTAGTGCTCCTGCTGCTGAATGCAATCAAATCCTCACAGCAATGTTCCAACATTTTAGTGTAAAGCCTCCCCCGACAAGTAGAGACAGTTACTGCGGCTGAGGGGGACAAACTCCTTTTTAATACTCTTGTTTTTGGAAGAAATAATAGATGAGCAGGATTCCGCAAACTTTGAGACTTGTGTAATTTAACAGTATTACGGTAGCGTAGCACAACATGCATTCTTATCAGTGAGTCAGATGAGAGATGGTTTAAGGCCCACGTGTCAAACACAAGGCCCACGGGACAGATCAAGCCCGCCACACAATCCTATCCGGCCCGCAAAAGTATTTTAATATTTGTATTGATATTAGCCTGTTTCACAATTTCACAATGTGCTGCACTATAGTCCTCAGCATGCACTGCAACATAATGTGCTCTGACTCTCCTACCCCAACAACAGTCTATAAGACAGCGGTTACACCTCAATTCTACACAATTCTGTGCAATTCCACACCAGTCATATCACCAAACTGCATTTCAGCTGCAGTTTAATCAATATAAACACTTAACATCAGTTCAGCAGCTCGGAAATTGAGTCTTAATAAACTTGCAGCAAAAAGAGGATGCCAGGTGTCTAGTTCAAGCAGATAGGCAGGTTTAAAAGACGGAGCTCCTGGGGACATTTAAATTTTGAATGTTTAAAATGTAATATTTCAATGTCTACTACAGGTCTGTGTATTTTACTGTTGAAGTTTTTTGCATATTTTGAATAAACAATGGCCAGTTCGGGTTACAGCACAACAACAATTAAAAATGAAATAAAAACATTTTTTCTCTGGCCCACGGATTTGATGAGATTTTTTTAATATGGCCCTTTTACTGATTACGTTTGACACCCCTGGTTTAGGGGGAGCCTGTTCACTTCCTATTGCTCCTGTTATGCCAAAAAGATGAATGCAAAATGTTATATCTTTCTGTTTTTCTACAGCAAACATATTTTGGGCCGTAGGATGCTAGCATTACTGATACTCAGTGCTGATTGGTTGGTGAGCGGATCAGCTCATTGGCTGAGTAAAGAGGTTCGTGCTGACTGACTTCATGAACACACCGTTACATGAGGCACCTTTATAAAGTCCTATAACTTAAATATAAAGTGCTTAAAAATATAACAGCAGTGTTAACATATGTTATGTTGTTCTGTGTTCAGAAAATGAGGGCATTTTTCTATATTAAAAAGTTTAAGCATTTACAAACTGTGATTTTGCACAAAACTCCACAGGAGACCATTTATTTTGGACTCGCTCGGGAGCGCCCTCTAGCATTTGATAAAACCCTAAATACATACTGAGTGGCAACTCTCCTCATTACACCTTCTCTGGTCAGAGAAGCTGTAATACAGACCCAAATGTACATGCATTTATTCATAATTACAGTATAAAATTAAGAGGTTACCTTACACTGTCTCAACATTTCTGTCTTAGATCTGCTTCAAACTTGGTGTGGACACATGTCACATGTGAACAATGTATTTACTCTGAAAAAGATATTTTGCAGCATATTTTAACACAAAATCTGAAATATTTAAAACACCGTGTGAACACTTTTTAGATTAAGTAAAATAAATCCATTTTGTATTATTTTTGCTAGATTAGTTTGTTGCAAAAATTTTGTCAAAAGCTGTGGCCATGAAATTAGAGCACATTTGCAATGCGCTAGTACTTCTTAAACTTGAGTACAAGTGGTCTTGACGAGAGCGTTTGACCCAGATGGTCTCCTTTAGAAATGACAATGCAGCACATGTGCCGGCCAAATACTCTAATGCAGCAGCCCGCACAAAGGCCCATTAGGAACTGCCCCAGTGCTCCCGATGGCCAGTCCATCCCTGAGTTATGTCAAATTGATAGATTCTACAAAATGAAATAAATTCTGCAGAATGAGGAAATCACAACATGTCATGGTTCACTCACTTTTCTGAGCTCTACTGAGTGTTTGATGTCTTTGATCTTCTTCAGTCTATCTTGGATCATCTGCTGCACCTCTGTCTGCGTCTTCTCCAGCTGTGACTGCAAACAGAGAAGATATGATTTTTACTTTCATATTTTACTGAATTGTTTGGTTTTCTTTTCAAATGTTTCATTTTTATTTGGATGTTTAAGGTTGAAGTCAATCAGCATTTCTCCCACCTTCATTTCTCCAATCCCCTCCTCTACAGGAACAGTGTTGTGCTTCTTGTGGTCAGTCACAGTGCAGACCATACACGCAGACATCTGGTCATCTCTACAGAACAGCTCCAGGGGTCTCCTGTGCTTCTGGCATATATAGTCCTCCAGGTTCTTTAATGGGCTTATTAGCTTGTGTTCCTTAAGTTTCGGCATATTATTATGAGATTCTAAATGAGATTTACAAAGAGTGAGACGACAATCCAGACAGGATTTCAGGGCTTCCTGCTTCTCTCCAATGCAGGCATCACAAAGAACCTCAGGTTTATCCAGATCACTTTTCTTCTTGAAGTGATTTACAACCTCACTGAATGCTGTATTGACCTTGAGTTCTGGTCTCTTGGTGAATTTCTCTTTACAGAATGGACAGTGACACTGCTCACTGTCACCCCAGCATGTTTTAATACATTTCATGCAGAAGTTGTGTCCACATGGAGTGGAGACTGGATCAGTGAAGACATTCTGACAGACAGAACACAGAAAGTGATCTTCAAACAGGAGACAGCTGGAGTCAGGAGCAACTGTGGATGAATGGAAAACATGAGAAACTCATATTAATTCAATAATTTAATTTATAAATTCATTGCCAGTCAAAAAGAATAGCTGAAACATTTTTTGATGTAATAATTACAGATAAACACAAACTGAAACAGACAGCCAAGAATGTTTATTAATATTTGTCATAGTTTATCACATTTTTTTTTTACTTTTGTAATATTAATTCTCTTAATGAAAAAGCTTTCCACATATTCTTCACTGCTGTCCACACACCATCCACAGTGGTTCAATGCAGTGGTTAGGAAGGGACCACCATTGGACCACCACTGACCAGTTATTATGTGGTTAGTGGACTATTCTTAGCCCAGCCAGTCTGTAAGAAGAACTGTCAATTTTGTTTTTAATATTGTGGTCAGAAACCAGCCAATAATTGAGAATGGGGGTTTGAGAATGGACAGCATAGTAGATTTATAGGGTAGGTGAAAATTAAAGGTACAAGATCAAGTATCTAATAACCCTGTGACTCAGCTTCTGTGCTTATCAGTGATTCTCTTTGACTGCCAGTGCAAAATAAACTTAGAAAGTCTGAATTATCTTAGAGCCCACGTGTCAAACACAAGGTCCGCGGGCCAGATCAGGCCCACCACACAAGCCTATCCGGTCCGCAAAAGTGTTTTAATTATCTATTAACATTAGCCTGTTTCACAGTGTGCTGCACTACAGTCCCCAGCATGCACTGCAACGTAATGTGCTCCAATTCTCCTGCCCCAACAACGGTCTATGGGACAGCGGATACACCTCCATTCTACACAAAGTTACGCAATTCCACACCAGTCATATCAACAAATGCATTTTAGCCAATATAAACATTTAACATCAACTCAGCAGCTCAGAAATTGAGCCCAAGCCCACCTGGGGACATTTAAATTTTGAATGTTTCAAGTGTCTGTATTTTACTGTTGAGGTTTTTACATATTTTGAGTAAACAATGGCCAGTTTGGGTTACAGCACAACAACAATTAAAAATGAAATAAAAACATTTTTTTCTCTGGCCCACAAATTTGATGAGATTTTTTAATATGACCCTGTGATAAAGTGCGTCCCTCGGCCCGGCAGTTCGCTGTGGCAGGGGACACACCTTATGGGTAGCGTCGGGCAAGTGGTCCAAGTCACTGGAATAAATATAGCTAATTCAAGAGTCTTTCTCCCCGTCACCTTTATTTACACTCCAACACTCAGGATTATTTACATATTTACATGTGCACACGATAAACAAAAACAAACGAAAATAGGCTCTACCACTATTGTATTGACCGATGACTGCAAAGTCATATGGGTCTGTATTTGTACCACCTTCACTCTTCCACCACGCTGAAAGAAGGGATCTCCCTCGTACCCCCCAGTAATGGTGCTTATATTCGGGGTGCTCCTCCCCTCGAGTATACCATTACTGGCCAGGGTTAAAAACAAGTGCTCCAAGTAAGTAAATGTATTTACATCCAACAGTAAATCATTCGTGATCTTCCTTACTACTTAACTTTCCATTGATGATGTCACTAACACATGTTCACAGTACAGTGTACACTTATTAAACAGTTTCACTCTTCTCCAGGTTTGGTCCTTCCCTACACTTCTACAGAGGATGGGTTCACCCATTCAGTTCTCTTTGCTCCTCAAAGCAAGGATAACCAGTCCTCAGGTAAGTATAGGTAAGTGTTTAAACTCAGTCATTATATTGTGATGTGTAGAGGAGCACTCTACATCATCACAGACCCTTTTACTGATTGAGTTTGACACCCCTGTCTTAGAGCATTTTTCATACACGTGGAATGAAAAGTAAAGAAATAAAACACTGTAATAACTTTGTATAAGCCATAATCTGTGCTGTCTAACACAACTAGCCCTCAACATGACACTGGGAATGTAGAAATTATTTCAGTGTCAATAACCTTTTACCTTACTG